TGGCTTTAAATGATCATGGTGCATTAGGTGAAGTTAAATCAATGAAAATGTCAACACTAAAACTAAATATATCCTAAATAATTATTTAAGGTTAAAATGATATTAATTATCTAGCTTTTAATTAATGATTATTCAACAGCAGAATTTCTCCCTGATGACTTGCTAGATTGAGATGCCAAGATACCAAGATCTTTCACTGAATCCATTCATTTAAGTCCAGGTTAAATAAACAATATTGGGGCCGGTGCTGTAGCATAGCGGGTAAAGCTGCCACCTGCAGTGCCACCATCCCATATGGACACTGGTTTGAGTCCTGGATGTTCTTCCAATCCAGCTCTCAGCTGCAGCCTGGAAAAACAGTGGAAGTTGGCCCAAGTCCTTGGGCCCTTGCACCCACATGGGAGACCTGGAAGAAGCTCCAGACTCCTGGCTTCAGATTGGCCCTGCTCTGGCCCAACTCCGGCCATTGCAGCCACCTGGGGAGTGGCAGCGGATTGGAGGACCTCTCTTTCTTTTTTTATTGCTGCCTCTGTAACTGCCTTTCAAATAAATAAATAAATAAATCTTTAAAAAATAAAAATAAATAAAAAACAACTAACATTCTGCAATGTAGGGTTCTCACAGCCAAAATAATCAGATTATTTTTTGGAATAATATTTCAAACTCCTGTGAAAAATGAACAGTTGCTTAGAAAGGGGGACTAATTAAATCACAATGTCATCTATGGATTGCCTCAAATGATCACATATATTGTCCTTTCTTCTGATTTATGGCACTGTTCTTTGCTCATTGTTCCAAAGCTTTGGAGTTAACTGTGTGTCCTAAATACCACACTGTTGTTCTTTTTTTGCCACCCCAAAGAAACAGTGTTTGAAACAGCACTGTTCTATATGCAACAGCCACTATATTTCAGTGGAAGTCTCTAACAAAGACAAGGACGTCCCCACTGCTGAGCCACAACACTGGCAAGCCACACAACAGTGTTGTGCTGCTGAGATTCATTAATATGTAACTATAATTTTAATCTCTGCAATCAAGATTAATTACACTATAAATTCCTCATAGTCTACACCTCTGGTCTTAATTAGCCATCTCAAAACCCCATGGCTGAAGGTCAAGTGGAGTCAGGAAAGAACCTAAATGGCTTACCTCAAACCAACCTCAGTATTAGAAAGTAATTGAAAACACATGTTTTCTTAGTACTGTAGACTTAGCGTCATCTCCTTAGGAAAGATAACCTCTGGTACCAAGATTATTGACAGCAACAGATCAGAATCAAATACCATGTGGATTAAATAAGGGAAGAAACCAGATTGGAGTTTCATTAAATAGAACCTGCAGAATCTGGTGGTTACCACGGTGGATCTGAAACCTCAGATCACAATATTGAGCAGCTGGTAAGAGTGAGACACCTTTAAAGATTCTGTTAGGCTGCAGGAGACTGATGCTTCAGATCACTTAAAGCCTTCTCCAGCAGTAAATCCAGGACTTGACTCAAAATATCTGAATGACTTAAAGCAGATTACATTCATACCTTAAAAGGACAACTTCAAAATTCTATAGGTTTAGGTCCTGGGGTGCAACAATTAGGATACTGTTTGAGTGCCACATTCTATATTGCAGTGCCTGGGTTCCAGTCCCAGTTCTGCTTCTGATTCTTACTTCCTGCTAATGTGTGCCTTGGGATGCAGCGGGTGATGACTGAACAAAAGTGGCTGGGTTCCTGCCACCTGTATGGGAGACCCAGATGGGAGTTTTGGTCTCCAGGTGTCAGCCTGTGAGTGATTCAGCACATGGATTTCCCTGTCTGTCTCTGTTTCTCGGCCTTTCAAATCAAAGTTGAGGATTCAGTTTAAAAATTATTTTAAAATGAGTACATATTTCTAAAAACAGTTCTATAGATTTAGTAATACTAGTTGATCATTCAAAGCACTTATCACATAGAAGATGCTTTGTAGTTGTGTTGAATTTTGTCATCATCAGATGACAACTAAAAGGGAACATTTGAAAAATCTTTGTAAAATTGCTACTGAAGACAACTATTTTACAGTTCATAATACGCTGCATGATATTTTAACATTAGGAAAAACTGGATTGCTCTAGTGGATTTAAGGCTATTGAAATTCAAGTGCAGATTGTCCCTCTCTTTTCCATGCTTCCCAGAAAAACTTGGAATTAAATATGATGCCTAAATTATATTTTTTATATTAGATTTTTGTTGCTCTCTCCTGTTTTCAGTGTCTCCTTTTATATTTTTGCAACCTAATCCTTTTTGGAAATGTGTGCTATATATTATAAATTAACAATATCAGCATTTTGCCCTGAATCTTTACTTACAAGCATTCTTTGTTTTGAACAACGCTGACCACTCATTGAAACTCTTCTTCCTTGCCTTGCATGATACTCTCTCCTGGTCAGCATTTATGGAGGACTTACTAGATGCTGGGCACTGCTGGTTCTTCTCACTTGATTATTCTTCCTCGTCCCATTTACTCTCAGTCCATCAGGGGCACAGGTCCACCAAGGTTTTGTCATTGGCTCTGTGATTTTTTTCTGCATTCTGTCCCTTGATTTAGGAACATAAACCCTTACTTGAAACACACTTTAGAATTAGAATTTTTGGATTTTGGCAGTCACAGGGAACGCCTACCGTATGTCATGGAGTGTCTTCTACACCCATGTTTCTGCAGTGAAATATATGCGTACTTCACAAAGTAAGAGAGGCTACAAACAGCTTCACAACTATTCTTTTTAGGTTTTGCCCTAAATTTAGGGGAAAGTTTTACGATTTTCAAGCCATTTTAGATTTTAAAATTGCAGATAAGGGACAGCAGACCCATTAAACTCTACCTTAAAGGTTTTAGGTTGTACATTTCCAAATACCTTCTGAACATCTTCTTCACTAAAGATCAAAGCTCCCATCCTTGCCACTGTTACTTCCTTACCTGTCCTCTGGGTCTTGCGGCTTCTCAAGCTAGGCTCAACTGACTGATCTGTGTACTTTGTTAGACACTGGGAAATACCAAAGAGGCTTCTTACTTTCAGCTTCCTCATCTCTTCTGGGTGGGGAAGCGAATTAGAGAAATGGTTAAATACACTGAGGAACATTTGGTACAGTGGGCTGTTTTGCGATGATGAAAGAGAATGCCATAGTCAGGAAAGATTCATGTTGCAAAACATGGTTTAGGGGTCCTACAGACAGTTTGTCAAAGTAGACGAAATTCTGGAAAGCTATGTACTAAACCATGGCAGTGTCTCTAGGACACAGTGGGAAAATTTTATATTTTTTAGTTTAAATAAAAAGCAAAATTATGTATGTTATTAGTTTTTTTTTTTTCCAATCTACTTGAAAGGATGAGCAACAGAGAGAATATCAATTATCTAGCTTTTAATTACTGGTATCCATCTGCTGGCTTACTGCCCAAATGCCCCCAACAGCCAGGCCTGGGCCAGGACAAAGCCAGAACTCCCATCTGAGTCTCCCATATAGGTGGCAGGAACCCAGCTACTTGGGTTTAGCCATCAGCTGCTGCCTCCCAGGGCACATATTAGCAGGAAGTAAAGTCAGAAGCAGAGCTGGGACCGGAACCCAGGCACTCCAACATGGAACGTGGGCAACCCAACAGTATTCTATTTTGCACCTACACCAGGCCCTGAATCTATACATTTTTGAAGTTGTCCTTTTAAGGTACTGATTTAATCCACATTAAGTCATTCAACAAGTATTTTGAGTCAAGTCCTGGGCTGAATTCTGGGGAAGCCTGTACACGAGGTCTGAAGTATCAACTTCCTGCAGCCTAAGATTATTGAAAAGATGTCTCCCATGTGCATGGCAGGGATCTTAGTACTGAAGCCATACACTGCTGCTTCCCAGGATGCATTAGCTACAAGTGGGGTTGGAAGTGGAGGAGCCAGGACCCAGATCGGCACTTTGGTATGGTGTGATGTGAGGGTATCCAAGTGGTGGCTTAATTCACTAAACCAAAATGCTGATGCCAAGAAGATTTTAAACTGAAAAAAAAAAAAAAGTTTCAGAAAGTTAAATGTGATGAGAGGTATGAACAAAGGTATGTAACATGAAGTGACTAATGCTGCCTAAATCATGAAATTCAGGGAATGTTTTCAATTGGTCAAAGAAACAGGCCAATCCAAGCAGATAGCCAGTTCAAAGGCTCCTGTGTTTAAAGGCTATTGGAGGACTGGGTATTGGAGGGTGGCTTCAAAGGGGAGAACAGAATTTGAGATTGAGGTTAGATGGTGAAAGGCCTCAATCACTAGTTGGAAATTCTATACGAGAAGGTTTACTTTGTTCCTACATTATCTAAAGATAATGACAATTGAAAAGAAAGAAATCAAAATCAAGTATTCCACCAATTCTTTCATACAAGATTATGTATCCTTTTAAATGCTCAGTTTTAAAATCCAGAAAAAGAGATACTTTACCAATTCCAGAAGATATAGGTTATGTTTCTTTTATAATTCATCAAAATCAGTTTTTAAGTGGAGTATCAAAGAATAATTAACCTGGGATAGTTTGAGAGATGGTGAGAAAATCCTTCGCAGTTAGCCCAGAGTTTCATTTGGAAGGTCTAAGTTCTGACCTTTCAGATGTGAAATTCCAAGTGTGTATTTGGATATGTGACTGTAAGAATAAAAATGAAATGACCAACAGTATGCTCCATTTTAATTTTTATTAATAAAATAGAAAACTAAACTCACACACCTGCTTGGATCTTTCATCTAATCCAAGCATATTCCAGAGAAACAATTCCTTGGCTGAGAACTGTCAATATACCAATTCCATCAAAAACTATAGACTGGTATATCTAAGGTTTAGTACATGAAATATTAAAGAGAAAACAATAGAAACCACAAGAATCTCTTCCTCATACATATGAGGACTCCTTTAATATTCTTCGCTGTAGCTCACTTGCAATCCTAAGAAAATCAGTCAGGATCAATCATGTTGTGTAACCCCTAAAGGAAAAAACTGAGGGAACTCGTGGGTAATTTTCACAGCTTCATTGTAAAGTCCAAGATCTGAAAAAAAAAAAAACAGTTAAGGAAACATTTAATTTTCTCTTTCCTACATATTTAAACACTACTTAGAAACAGATTAAACTATCCTCTCATTTTCCTTGGGATCAGAAAATCCCATAGAAATTGAAAACATGATAGGACTAGACCAACACATATCAAATTAAGAATAAAATTGTCTTCCTCCAAATTACATAAACCACTCAATATTAGAATGTGTTATATTACCAAAAGGATTGTTATCTTCTTTGAACTGGACATAAGATGCACACATGATGGTTGCCTTGGCTGTTACTCTTCCAACGACTTCCACAATTCCAGAGATTTCTTCATCGAGCTAAGATGCAGAACAAAATAGCAATTTGGTGTTATCACATTTTCAGTTGATTAATTTGGAAAACTGTTACTCAGTTTATTAATACCTTAAACCTTTTTTTTTTTTTTTTTTTTTTTTTGACAGGCAAGAGTTAGACAGAGAGAGAGAAAAAAGGTCTTCCTTTTTCCGTTGGTTCACCCACCAAGTGGCTGCTATGGCCGGTGCGCTGCGCTGATCTGAAGCCAGGAGCCAGGTGCTTCCTCCTGGTCTCCATGCGGGTGCAGGGCCCAAGGACCTGGGCCATCCTCCACTGCCTTCCCGGGCCACAGCAGAGAGCTGGACTGGAAGAGGAGCAACTGGGACAGAATCCGGCACCTCAACTGGGACTAGAACCCGGGGTGCTGACACTGCAGGCAGAGGATTAGCCTAGTGAGCCGCGGTGCTGGCCTACCTTAAACCTTTTTTTTTTTTTTTTTTTTTTTTTTTTTTTTGACAGGCAGAGTGGACAGTGAGAGAGAGAGACAGAGAGAAAGGTCTTCCTTTTTGCCGTTGGTTCACCCTCCAATGGCCGCCGCTGCAGCCGGTGCACCACGCTGATCTGATGGCAGGAGCCAGGATCCAGGTGCTTTTCCTGGTCTCCCATGGGGTGCAGGGCCCAAGCACCTGGGCCATCCTCCACTGCACTCCCTGGCCATAGCAGAGAGCTGGCCTGGAAGAGGGGCAACCGGGACAGAATCCGGCGCCCCGACCGGGACTAGAACCCGGTGTGCCGGCGCCACAAGGCGGAGGATTAGCCTATTGAGCCACGGCGCCGGCCCCCTTAAACCTTTTAACAATAATTTTAAACTTTACTAACGCAGGGGCAGGTGTCATGTTATGGTGGGTTAAGGCATTGCCTGTGACGCCAGCATCCCATATGGCTGCTGGTTTGAGTCCTGGCTGCTCCAGTTTTGATGCAACTCATTGCTAATGTGCCTAGGAAAGCAGCAGATGGCCTAAGTCCAAGGACCCCTACCAGCCATGTGAGAAACCCAGAAGGAGTTCCAGGCTCCTGGCTGTGGCATGGCCCAGCCTTGGTGGTTGCAGTCATCGGGAGTGAACCAGTGGATGGAAGATCTCTCTCTCAATCAGTTTACTGAGTGTCCAGATTTCTACAAGCAGTAACTTGTTAAAGACCCATCAAGAAGAGCCAGAAACTTCTATAACTTCACAAAGTATGTTCTGCACACATTAACCAAATAGTATATGGATTTGTCTTCATGAAGTGCCAAGAAAATTGTAAGGAATGAGAACTGTTACTCAGCATTTAGTGATGTATTAAAAAGTTATGGAGCCCAAAGAACCAACAGTTAGAAATATAAAGGAAAGTATCAGAAAAGAAGGTAAGAATTTAATTTTAGAGCTATGGAGGTTTTAGAAACTCATCCTTTATACAGCACTTCCAAAAGCAGAAACATTAGCACCGAACCAAGACAAAGCAACTATGATATGCACAGAATTAATACTTAAACATACAGGTTCCATCAACTCAACAGTTCCAGTTTTCCCTTCTCCATCTGAAAGAATAAACATTTTTCCACTGGGATGAATCTAAAAAACAAACATTAAAAAAAGGCCTTTATACAGAAACAAAACCTCTAAAATATCATTAAAATAAAAAAAAAAAAAAAACAAAAAGTGATGAAACTTGAGATTGACCTAATTTAGGCAAGCACAAAACAGACTCTTGAACCAGGTTTATTCGTTTCCACATAGTACCTTGTTTTATCAGAGCTAGTCACGGGACGCCCCAGCTAATTTCCGATAAAGAACCAACACTTAGTCGTCCAAGTGGGTCCCGTGATTTCCATTCGCTGTATCTGCAAACCCCACTCCGGGAACAAGTTAGAGGAGGCCTGGACCAGCTGCCAGCATTCCCGGTTCGGAAGGTTCCTACCCCACAGGAGCAGTGGACGCCCGAGGACCGATGGCCGCGGTGGGCTCCCCTCCTGGGAGACCGCCGCGAAGCGGCCCACAGGCGTGGGGCGAGGCCTGGGCACGCTCGGACTCAGTTTCCCGCTCCCTCGGCTGGGCCGCGGATGTGCGGGGGAAAGGAGCTACTGAAACAAGCCTGTCCGGCCTCTGCTTCCCTCGTGGGGCGCAGCGGCTGCCGAGGGAATCCCCACAGGGACAACCCGGGAATTTTCACAGGAAAAGGGGCGAGGACAAGGTTCTCCTCGGTGGGGCCAGCCCAGCCTGGCAGGTGGACGTGGGAGTCCTGTCTACGGCTCCCTCTGCTTAAACACCACGACCGGGACAGGAGCGACAGGCGCTGACGCATGGAAGGCAGCGCATTCCGTGCCCTAACGAGGCGCCACGAAGCAGCTGCAACGGCTCAGAAGTGTGCCGCAAGCAGCCATCCGCGCCACAAAGCCACTGCGTGAGCAGCGATGCTGAGGCGCCCGGGTCCTCTTCCCACCCTCCGTCCCCGACCCGTGGCGGTCAGGCGTCCCTCCCTCCGGCTATCGGCCCCGGCGCCCAGGGCGGCGAGCCCGCGCACCTTTTCCAGCCTCCCCACGAAGCAGACTGGCCGGTCGATGAACTGAGAGAGCATGCTGGCGTTGATGCGCGACTTGGGCAGCTCCATGACGTCCACCATGGTGGCGGGAACACGACGGACGATCCAAACTGTGCGCCCCGCGGGCGTCTATGGGGCATATCCCCAGCACCAATCAGCGAAGACTATCCCGACAGCTCCGCCAATCAAACACGCCGAAAGCGCTTTCGCAATCACGTGCTCCGGGCCAAGCGGGAGAAGGGGCGGGACGAACAGGGAAGAGAGGATCGGCTGCTTAGTGACGCGCCGCGTTCCGGAAGTGGCCCGAATCCTAGGGGGAAAGGGCAGCGGAGGCGGGGCGTGGCGGGGCGTGGCAGGTCCCCTCCCGGGCACTCCGGCCTCCCCTCGGCGACTTGACCCCGGAAGCGGGGTGTCGGGCTCCGGTGCCAGGGCGGCGGGGGACTGCGGCGCCAGCGTCAGGTACCTGTCCTCGCAGGAGGCGCCGCAGCCTTGCTGGCTGTCTCCTCCCCACGGACTGAGTGGACAGAGCGAGGCGGGACCCGGCCGCCGGCTCCCGCCACAGCCGCACCGGCTGTTAGCCTCACCCGCCCCCGTTTTCTCTTGGGCGTGGGAGGCGCGGGCCAGCTGTGAAGTGAAACGTGGGGATCGGGGTTTTTTCTGGACCCCCATCCTCCCGGAGGCGGGAAGCGGGTTGTCAGCGGTCGCGGTCACTGTTTCAGGCGCTGAGGGGCAGGGGGTCGGTTCACAGCCGGCTTCCCCGCCTGTCAGAAGAGAGGCGCCCCCATACCTGCGCTGCCGGTGCGGGTCGGGGCCTGGCGTCGGTGTTGCCCCTCTCGCCGCGGGGCGTCAGCCGTGACTGGAGCGTGGCCGGGGCCGAGGGGCCAGCCCGGGGGGCTGCGGGCCCCGGGGTCGGGGCGCGGCTCGCCGAGGCGCTGTCCCTGCCCGCAGAACGCGGGGGTTGCGCGGTCGGGCGCAGCCGACGCCAGCCTGGACGCTGGGGTCCGCGGCTCCCGCGAAAACGCGGCAGCGTGTCCCTCCCTGCCGTCCACCGCCCCGCGCCCTGGAGCGGGGAGCTGAGGGCCGGCGGCCGGGGCAAGCCCTGTGTTCCTGGGCACTCGGGGAGGCTCCGTCCGTCGCCGGTTCGGAGCGCGTTGTAGCCTGCTGTGGTTGTGTGGACGGCAGAGGCGGGAGCGGTCCCGCATTTGCCTTAGCCGGAGGAGATCGTTTGGAGACTTCATGAGGCAATTTCAGATTGTAATCTCATGTACCGTAATTAAACGGCAGGGAGTGTCCCCCAGCGTTTATTTAGCGCTTACTATGTTAGTTTTATTTTTGCTGTTACTAAAACAAGTCTGAAGGATTTCGTTAAACGGATGCTGAGTGTTTGGGAAAGTGGTGGCTGTATTGGTGTAAGTCAAGTCTATTTTATATTGCTGCATAAGACCATAAAGTTTTTTGTATGCTAGCAATGCTTTGGAAAGACAGTTGATGTTCATTAAATACAATAGCGTACATCTGAATGTCCCTCATATCAATATATAAATGAAGACAGCCTTTAAGGCATCATTGTTTTATTATGGCTAAAAGAACACTTTTAAGCCAAGATACTTATTTAAAATAGGTAGATGACCAAGAAGAAATTATATTTATTTATTTGAGGGGCAGAGAGAGACACAAGGAGAGACATTCCTTACACTGGCTCAGTTTCCAAATGCCTCCAAGAACCTAGGCAGACCTGGAACTCAATCAAGGTCTCCTGCGTGGGCGGTAGGAACCCAATCACTTGAGCCATCAGCTCTGCCTCTCAGGGTCTGCCTTAGCAGGGACCTGGAGTCAGGAGCTGGGGCTGGGAACCCAGGCACTACAATATGAGATGCTGATGTTTTAACCAGTATCTTAATAAACAAGTGCCTACCCCAAAAAGATGATTCAAAACATATCCAAAAGTCTGTTTTAAATAAAAATTTATCATAAAATACATGCTACGCAGGGAAGAGTATATACAATAGTACTTAATAGTTCGTGGTGGGGTGGGTGGCTGCACAGGGGTTAAGATGCCCCTTGGGACACCTTCCTATGTCAGAGTACCTGGGTTTAAGTTCCAGTTCTGCTCCCAGCTCCAGCTTCCTGCTAATGTGCACCCTGAGAGGCAGCAGCTGATGACGAAAGTGATTGTGTCCTGCCACCCACATGGAAGACCCAGGTTGTTCCCTGCTCCCAAGTTTGGCTTGGTCCAGCCCTGGCTGTTGTGGGCATTTGTGGAGGGAGCCAGTGGAACCAGTGGGAACCTTTCTCTTTATGTTTCTTTTGCCTTTCTGTAATTAAAAAAAAATAGTTAATGGACAATGGAGACACAGAGATACCCTACCCAAATACCCACACCAGCCAGGGCTGGGCCAGGCTGAAGCCAGGAGCCAGGGACTCAGTTTGGATCTTCCATGTGATTGGCAGGAATCCAATTACTTGAGCCATTATCTGATGCCTCCCAGGTTGTCAGTTAGCAGGAAGCTGGATTAGAATTGGAGGAGCCAGATCGTGAGCCAGGCACTCTGATATGGTGTCCCAAACAGTGACTAAACTGCTGTGTCAACTGCATGCCTCACATGTGGGCGTTTCTCAAGGGTATGCTGTTTCATTATAGAAAGGACAATCTTTTTTTTTTTTTAATTTTTTTTATTTTTTATTTTTTTTTAAGATTTGTTTGTTTGAAAGGGAGAGTTACAGAGAGGCAGAGGCAGAGACAAAGATCTTCCATCTGCTGGTTCATTCCCCAAATGGCCGCCACAGCTGGAGCTGGGCCCATTTGAAGGCAGGAGTCAGGAGCTTCTTCTGGATTTCCTAAAAAAGGTGCAGGGGCCCAAGGAATTGTGCCATCTTACTGCCTTCCTAGGCCATAGCACAGAGCTGGATTGGAAGAGAAACAGCCAGGTCTCGAACTGGTGCCCATATAAGATGCAGGTACTGCAGGCAGCAGCTTTACCCACTAAACCACAGCACCAGCCCCAAAGGCCAATCTTTGACCTTTACATAAATGGAGTGGTATATAAGGACACATCACAAAGCTTGTGAAAAATGGAATTTAAAGAAATGTTTATTTAGGTGCCAAAAAGATTTTGTAATCATTTGTGGTTTTCATAGTACAGATTTTCCATGAACTTTTCGAATACCCTTTGTATATTTTCTGACTTCTCTTACTTGTTTTTGAGATTAATCATGTGGATGAATGTAGGTGGCATTCATTCTTTTTGCTCCTTTGCTCTATTATTGCTTGACCATTTGATTGCTGTTCTTTTCTGTTGTGTGCAGTGCTGGTGCATTGTGCAAACATGGGTCAGTAGAATTGCTGGAGTGTGGGATGTGGCTCTGCAGCTCTATTAGCAAAGACAAATGATTTGGCCAAATGGTAGAACCAGTGTACTCTCTTCAGGGGTATAGTAGCGTTCCAGGTAATCTACATTCATGGCAACTTTTAAAGATTTTTTTTCCCTTTTGATCTGATAGATATGAAATGGTTTTCGTTGTGGTCTCAATTTGCATTCTCTGTGTGTTCATTTTATTACAACAAGATACCTGAGGTAGGCTATTTAAGAAGGAAAAGAGGTGTATTTAGCTCACTGTTGGGGAGATTCGATGATGTGATGCTGGCGTTGGTGCAGCTGTAGCGAGGACCCTCTCTGCTGAGTCATATCACTGCAGAGGCAGTGGTCTGAGAGAGGTCACATACATCTCCGAAGCCAGGGAGACTGGGGTGGGGTACAGACTCAGGCTTTTATAATAATTTGCTCTAAATGGCACTCACTCCTGGAGACCAATGTTCCCCTCCAAGTGCAGCTTTTCCATTGACCCAAAGACCTTCTACTAGGCCCCCTCTGAAAAGTCTGCAACACCTCAACACAACCACAGTGATGACCAAGTCTCTAGCACGTGGACCCCTAGGGTACTAACCAAATCCAGACCACAGCACCTATATTCTGCTCTTTCCGCCCTCCCTCCACTCCCCTTTCCTTTTTCTTTTCTTTTCTTTTCTTTTCTTTTCTTTTCTTTTCTTTTCTTTTCTTTTCTTTTCTGGACTGGAAAGAACTCTTTTAATATAGTTACACATATTTTCCTTAAGCTTAATATAATTAATAAAACCAACTTCTTTTTTTTTTGACAGGCAGAGTGGACAGTGAGAGAGAGAGAGAGACAGAGAGAAAGGTTTTCCTTTGCTGTTGGTTCACCCTCCAGTGGCCGCCGCAGCCAGCGCGCTGCGGCCGGCGCACCGCGCTGATCCGATGGCAGGAGCCAGGTGCTTCTCCTGGTCTCCCATGGGGTGCAGGGCCCAAGCACTTAGGCCATCCTCCACTGCACTCCCTGGCCACAGCAGAGAGCTGGCCTGGAAGAGGGGCAACCGGGACAGAATCCAGCGCCCTGACCGGGACTAGAACCCGGTGTGCTGGCGCCGCAAGGTGGAGGATTAGCCTAGTGAGCCGCGGCGCCGGCCCAATAAAACCAACTTTTAAAAATTATATAAGAATCTTTTTTACATCAGATGTATTCTGTATTCTAAAATATTTGTATTTTTGCCTTTGATATTTAATATTCCATCATCTAGAATTGAATTTTTTTTAAAAAATATTTATTTGAAAGGCAGAGTTACACAAAGAGAGAGGGAGAGACAGCGAGATCTTACATCCGCTGGTTCATTCCCCAAATGGCCACAATGACGGGGACTGAACTGGACCAAAGCCAGGAGCCAGAAGCTTCTTCCAGGCCTCTCACCTGGATTTAGAGGCCTAAGCACTTGGGTCACCCTTCTGCTGCTTTCTCAGGTGCATTAACAGGGAATTGGATAGAGAGTGGAGCAGCCAGGACATGAAGGGACATCCAGTATGGGATGCTGGTGTCTGGGCAGCAGCTTAACTCACTGCATCACAATGTCATCCCCTAGAATTGAGTTTTTAATGTATGTTATTAGATAGATGTCCAGTTTCTTTGTTTCCATTTCTGTTGTCTTATCATTTATTGATTATATCACATTTTTGTACTGACCTTTGGTGTCACCTTAAATTTACAGATGTTTATGGAATCTTCCTGGGCTGTTATTTCTATTTTACTGTCTCTGTGCCATTACTCATTTTCTTCTGTAGTATTATGACAGCTTTGGACATATGGGACTATATGCTTAGGAACATCTTGTTTGTTCTTGTCTCTTTGCTGTTCCATATAAAATTTAGCTCGTCAAGTTCCATGAAAAACTGTGAAGGGATTTTGATCAAAATTGCATTGAATCCCATGTATTTTGAGAGAGGTAACATTATTTTTTTTTATTTTTTATTTTTTTGACAGGCAGAGTGGACAGTGAGAGAGAGAGAGACAGAGAGAAAGGTCTTCCTTTGCTGTTGGTTCACCCTCCAGTGGCCGCCGCGGCTGATGGCAGGAGCCAGGTATTTATCCTGGTCTCCCATGGGGTGCAGGGCCCAAGCACTTGGGCCATCCTCCACTGCACTCCCTGGCCACAGCAGAGAGCTGGCCTGGAAGAGGGGCAACCGGGACAGAATCCGGCGCCCCGACCGGGACTAGAACCCGGTGTGCCAGCGCTGCAAGGCGGAGGATTAGCCTAGTGAGCCGTGGTGCCGGCTGAGAAGTAACATTATAATGACAACTCCTATGCTTGAGCTATTTAGTTTTCTTACAGTCTTTCCAGAAAGTTTCATGATTTGCTACCTAAAAGTTTTGAATTTTAGGGTAGATTTATTTCTAAATAACTTGTTTGGTACCATTATAAATGTATTTTTTAACATGAATATTTTAGCTGGTCATTCTAGAATATAGTTATACCATCCTGTAAAGCTCTTATTTCTAATAATTTTCAATAAGATTCTTTTGATTTTTCTATTCATAGGTGAATAATTACAGTTTGTTTCTTTTTTTTTTTTTTTTGAGTTTGAGAAATTTATTGGTATTTTAGTAAAGACATTCATCTTAGTCATCTCTCTCCCATCTTGACCTTAGGTTAAGTTTTTCCATTTGGGTCAAGAAATCAGTGTGTAGGAGAGGGATGTTATTTTAACAACATTTAAATGGACAAAAATGGATACTTTGCCTACATTAAAGTAAGTTAAATTCATTTAACTTGATATAATAAAATCATGTAAGAACTAAAGTTCTATATACATTTCCATTGTTTTACTTGGGGCTTATTCTAGACTTAAATGTAAGTGAAGAAAGTGTTAGGAATATACACAGGCTGCTTCTCTGGAGTTATTACCTATTAGAAGAGCTTAGTGAGTGGTTACCACCAGTAAAAGTTTGAAGCTGCCTCCAAATTTAACATCATAGGAGTTTTCAAGGAAATCATTGTACTATTTTGTCTGTGACTTATGTTTTTAAAGATGGGTTTAACTGTCACACTAAAAAAAGAGGTCATATGCAATACAAAAAATACAAAACAAACACTCTACAATACACAAATCTTAACAGAGTATATGTGGTGAGAACTCCATAAAATATGTTTGAAGATGCATTTTCTCTATATCTCAGTACCTAAAATGTGCTTTGGAGAGGCCACTGGTCAATATGTATGTTCTTAAACTAAATCATGTAATTGTACTATTAAGAAGTCCTGTAGTGAGTTTAATTCAAATATGATTTCACAACTTAGTAATTTAAATGTGTAGACAAAGTTACAGAAAGTGCATCTTCTCATTTTCCATCTTTATACAATGTGTTTTTTTTTTTTTTTTTGGTGTTTATACCTTTTAAAAAATAAAAAAAAGCCAAATACTTAAGCAATATGTACATTTACATTTTTGGTGGTGGTTTGTATTTTAAAAGAAACAGCTTCCTTCTGATTTGCCTCAAGTTCTGGTGGAAATGCGTACAGGAACTAGCTAATAAACAAAAACCAAGAGAAGCACATTTGAAATACTGATTTACTTTGGTAGCAAATGGTTGGTCTTTGAAGACTAATGAAGGTAGACAAGATCCCTTAAGGTGAAGTAGGCTATTTCAAATACTCGATAGTTTACATAAAAAGTTAAACTTTTTTTTTTAAAAGAGCTAAGCCGTGGTATCCACTGACAGCAATGCAATATCTAGTTTATGATGACTTAAAACAAATGCCCACAAAGAAAAAGCTGTACTTTAATTTTATCTAAATTTACTTTCAGTCAATAGTAACTTTTTTTCTCCGTACAATACTCCCTTCCCTCTATAAGGCTGTTCCTGGGAGCCTGACAGTTTAGGTAAAGAGGGAGTTAAGAGACTTAACTACTCGCAGTTTTAAATAGACAATAAAGTTTTGCTTCCCTTTTAATGTGCTAATAGTTGTGTCTAAAAAAATATGCAATTCTTAAAAAGGTACCATTTCTGATTTCTTTATTATCTGTAACCTTTGGAAACTAATCACATGAAACTACAAAATTAGCAAATGTCTGAAATCTGTGTATAAAACATAAATTACCTCTAATTTCAGCCGGCGCCGTGGCTCAATAGGCTAATCCTCCACCTTGCGGCGCCGGCACACCGGGTTCTAGTCCCGGTTGGGGCGCCGGATTCTGTCCCGGTTGCCCCTCTTCCAGGCCAGCTCTCTGCTATGGCCAGGGAGTGCAGTGGAGGATGGCCCAGGTGCTTGGGCCCTGCACCCCATGGGAGACCAGGAAAAGCACCTGGCTCCTGGCTCCTGCCAGGATCAGCGCGGTGCGCCGGCTGCAGCGGCGGCCATTGGAGGGTGAACCAGCGGCAAAAGGAAGACCTTTCTCTCTCTGTCTCTCTCTCTCACTGTCCACTCTGCTTGTCATGTCCACTCTGCCTAAAAATTACCTCTAATTTCAAACTCTCATTTATTAGTGTACCACTCAATCTTAAAAAAAATGAAAAAGAAAAAAAAAAGCGGCTCCAAAGATAGTCTTATACCATTCTTTAAAAAAGGAAACTGTTCCTTTTAACTTTACACCCACCCCACACCCCAATTTCAAAACACATCATTTAATTGTCTTGGTCATGGACATTTCCAAGATGAGATTTTATATTTCTCTCCCATAGCTTCTGGTTATCAGAAAACCCATGCTTTCCTTTATTGAAGGAATTTGGTCCGGCTGATGTTGGTGTATCCCTTCCAATATTCTTCATCCTCATCTTTGCTTCTGGAGGCATTTCCTCTGGTTCACTATCTTCATCTTCATTAAAAGCCGCTGCTACTGAAAGGGTTTTTGGAGCAAGAGTTGGAACAGTTTCTTTAGGCTTACTTGATCCAAGTTTGATGGATATGGCTGATGCTTTCTTTGACGTCTGACTACCTATGGCAAATCCAAACTTGGAGATCTTTGTAGGTTTTGTTGGGAGGTCTGCAGCTTCTTCTTCAGCTGATCGTTTCTCAGCGCTGCGACTGGAACTTTCCCCTCCATTACTGGAAGAAACAGTCTTAGTTTTCACAGGTTTTTCTGCTTCTTCTTCAGGTCCTCCGGCGGCTCCAGCTCGCTGCGGCTTTTCGGGCTTCTCTTCTCCCGCCTTCCCGTCCGCCATTTTCCCCGCCGCGGCCTACAGTTTGTTTCTTTACAATTCTTTTGTGCCCCTCTTCCAGGCCAGCTCTCTGCTGTGGCCAGGGAGTGCAGTGGAGGATTCTTTTGATTTTTCTATTCATAGGTGAATAATTACAGTTTGTTTCTTTACAATTCTTTTGTGTTTTACTTGTTTTTATTGCCTTTTGCCCAGGTTGGAGCCTTCTGCACCATTTTCAATAGAAATGGTATTTCAGTTCTAGTGGGGTTTGGCTGAGTAGCTAAAAGTATCTTCAATATGCAGCAGTTTTTCTCAAGCATCAGAGATGCAATTCAGCATTGAGGAAGCTATCAAGGGGACTGGCTTTGTGGTGCGGTGAGTTAGGCAGCTGCCTGAGACACTGACAATCCCATATGAGCACCAGTTCAAGTCCTGGCTGCTTTGCTTGTGACCCAGCTCTCTGCTAATGCACAGCAAAAGCAGTGGAGGATGGTCCAAGTGCTTGGGCCCCTGCCACTCACATGGGAGACCTGGAAGAGGTTCCAAGCTCCTGACTTTGAGCTGGCTCAGTCCTGGCCTTTGAGGCCATTTGGAGAGTGAACTAGCAGATGGAAGATTCTCTCTCTCCCTCACTCTCTCTCTCTCTCTCTCCTCTCCTCCTCCCACTCTCTCTGTAACTCTGCCTTTCAAATAAATAAATAATTCTTTTTAAAAAAGAAGGTTTCAGGGACCCATTTTTTGTTTGTCTTTCTGGTCTTTGATTGGTATCTAGTTGCCTATGTAAGGCTACCTCATAGGCCAAGATAAGTGCTAGAGCTCCAGCTGTCAAGTCTCCTTCCAGAAAACAGAGAAGTAGTCAGCCAGAAAGATTTACTTCCATCGGATTCAGTTCCCTTTAAGGAGCCTTCCTGGAAGTCATTCTCAACTTGGAATTCTACATATTAGCTTACAGAGTTTTTCCCCCTTTTCCCAGTTTGTTAAAGAGTGTTAACTGAATGGGTGTGAGATTTGTTCAAATGCATTTTTTATCTGTTTGAGATGAGTCTGAAGCAAGTCGGTAGACAGCTAGCAATGCTTCTTGACCAGACTGGACTTAACAACTTAGGTAGCTGGGGCTGGTTTTACATGAGATCTAGTACCTTGCTTTCTGCTCATAGTTGTTGTGAGAAGTAGGATGAGAGGGCGCAAGTAAATTGGTTGGTTCTTTGAATTTGGAGGAAAAAAATGTCCTGTTTCTTTTTTTCTCTAGGTCCTAGAATAATGCCTACGCAACATTTAGCTCTCAAAAAATCATGGTTTTAAGGCTGGCATTGTGGCACAGAAAGCTAAGCCACCTGTGAAGACATCTGCATTGTTATCCTGTGTTAGAGTGCTGTTTTGAGTCTCAGCTTCTCTGCTTCTTAATCCAGCTCATTGCTAATGCACCTGAGAAAGCAGCGGAAGATGACCCAAGTGCTTGGGCCTCTGCCATCCACATGAGAGACCCAAATGGAGTTCTGGGCTCCCCCCTTTGGCCTGGCCCAGTCTCAGTTGTTGCAGCCATTTGGGGAGTGATCCAGTTAATGGAAGATCTGTCTCTGTCTCTCTGTCTCTCTCTCTCTGTCATTCTGCCTTTATTAAATAAGTAAATAAATGCATCTCTTTTAAAAATATCATGGTTATTGAATTAAAAAGTAAACAGATGACTGTTTGGGGAGGAAGTACAGACTTTTTACCATACAGTTATGAAAACCAAGTGATGCAGGATTTCTAGTGGACAGCTTTGGGACCAAGTCCCTGAAAGTTGAATATGATGATTCCTGCTGTGTATTGAAGTATTAGAGTGAGCATATCAAGAGCAGTTAAAGACACACTGAATGGCATTTACTTTTGTTTCTTAATCATTCCAGGTTCCCCTGAGATGCAGAGGTGTGACCTCACATCAGATGACTTCACGCCCCCTCAGGACTTTGTTTCCATGTGTTTGTCTCACCTAAGCTGATTATGTGTAGAGAAGCCTTTTGTCAGAGATTTCTGGAGTCTTTTGCAGGATGCTTTCTCTTTCCTGAATTGCAGCATTGAATGAACAAGTTAGAAATTATTATCAGACTGGTAGGTAGAATGATATTTATGCCCAAACCATAATGGTTGGTGTGTAGCCATTATGTGAAATTATATTTGTAACTTTTCTAATACATCACATTCTATCATTGTGTAAGTAACTTAGAAGAGTTAGAATGATAAGAAAATCTGTAAATTGTCTTCAATTATAACAAATTATAAATGCAGTTCTGTTTTTTTCTTTTACATTTTCAGAGGGTAGCAATTCTTTTTAAAGATTTTATTTATTTGAAAGGCTGAGTTACACAGAGGGAGAAGGAGAGATAAAAAGCTCTTCCATCCTCTTGTTTACTCCCCAAATGCCTACTGGGACTGTATCGAGCTAAAGCCAAGAGCCAGGAACTCCATCCCATCTTTTACATGGGTGGCAGGGACCCACGTGCTTGAGCTCTCACCTGGAGGTCAAGGAGCACAATAACAGGAAACTAGATTGGAAGTAGAAGAGCTGGGACTTGATCCAGGTGCTTCAGTATTAGATGCAGGCATCCCAATCAGTGTCAACATCTGGCATCCTTTGGGCTGGGGATGGGACTATGGTTTTTACAATTGAAGCAGGGAAAGATCGTGGGTGTTTTGGTAACAGCTGGTTAGCCTGGATCTCATAATGGAGTGCCTTAGTTAAAGTCCTGGCTCTTGTCTCTGATTCAGCTTCCTGCTGATGCACCCTCTGGAAGGCAGAATGTGATGGCTCAAGAGTTGAGTCCTTGCCACTCGTGGGCGACATGGGTTGAGTTTCAGGCTCCTGGTGTCAGCCTGGCGCAGCTGTAACTAGTGGATTTGGGGATTGAACTAGTGGATGGAAATCCTCTGTCTCTCTGCCTTTTTTTTTTTCTTCTTTTTTTGACAGAGTGGACAGTGAGAGAGAGAGACAGAGAGAAAGGTCTTCCTTTGCTGTTGGTTCACCCTCCAGTGGCCGCCGTGGCCAGCGCGCTGCGGCCGGTGCATCGCGCTGATCCGAAGCCAGGAGCCAGGTGCTTCTCCTGGTCTCCCATGGGGTGCAGGGCCCAAGCACTTGGGCCATCCTCCACTGCACTCCCTGGCCACAGCAGAGAGCTGGCCTGGAAGGGGGGCAACCGGGACAGAATCCGGCGCCCCGACCGGGACTAGAACCCGGTGTGCCGGTGCTGCAGGTGGAGGATTAGCCTAGTGAGCCACGGCGCCGGCCCCTGTCTCTCTGCCTTTCAAACAAAATGAAAATAAATACATTTTTTTAAAAAGAAACCCTGGTTTAAAGTAAGACATGATTCCTTCTCCCTGCTGCCCCCCAATTGTAGAATCAGATAGACCAAGAAAATACTCCTTTCTTAGGATTTCCAGGCTACCATTCTTGATTCTGAAAATAATAGGCAATTAATTAAAAAGAAACCCAGCAAAAGTCCTCAAATCCATTAACACAAATAAAACTCAAATGAAATCTTCCCTGATAACACTCTAGTAGAAACTTGGGAAGTTACATATTTTTTTCAAACTTGTGTAGGAGAGTTGTTTGATGCCATCTGAGAAGATGGAAGGTTTTGTTCTAAAATTTTCAAGACTTGTGACTTCTAAGACAACTTCATCATATGGATAAAAGCAGCAACTCTGCTTGAGACTGTATTGCAGAACATTAGTAATCCCAGACTGTGTGATGTTTCTGTGGTAGTAGGATTTCCTGTTAGAGTGACAGCTGTGATTCCAGACAGTTCCTGGGAGTTGGTGTGTCACACTCTAGCTGAAGCTGGCAGTTCAGAGGATCAAATGAAGCCTCTGGGCCGCTCTCCATGGGAGGGAAACAGCTGTTAAAGCTCTTCAGTGGTGGTGATGATCAAGTAAATCGCTCTCTTCTTGCAGTGCTCTTTTGCCCTATGATTTTCTTTGTGGTGTGTTAAGGATTTAATGTTTGCCAAAGTTTTTCCTGACTGCAATTTAGTATAAAGTAAAAGAATGTAAGCTATGAGGATCAAGAAAAACAAATTTGTAAATCAAGAAAATAACCCCCAGCTTGGCTGCCGCTGGAATCTGTGCAGAAGTTCTGTGCTGTTTTTGCAGGATTCCAGAATCCTCCCTTCCTGGAGCTCTGTAATCATCCTTTGCCTTCATAGGCCTCCAGCTTTATGAGTATTTTATTTACTTATTTAGGAGGCAGAGAGAGAGAAAGAGAGAGCGCTTCCGTGAGCACAGAGCTCCTCTGTTAAATGGTTCATTCTCCAAATGCTCAAAACATCTGGAGCCAGGAACTCCACATGGGTGGCAGAAATCCAACTACTTGAGCCATCATCTCCTGCCTCCCATGGTGCACATTTGCAGGAAGATGCAGTCAGAGCTGGGCCTCAAACCCAGGTACTATGATATGGAATATGGGCATCAGAGACAGCATCTTAACCACTAGGCTAAATGTCCACCCCTCTAAGTATTTTAGCTGTTCTGTTTTGGCTAAAAATAGTAATGTTTTCAGTTTTCTAAAATCTTCTATACAGTGATATTAAGGAAGTAAGGTGTATTAAATTATACAACTTTTAATATTAGTGGTTTTATATGCATATGTTATCACTCTGAATTTAGATAACAAGTGACAAGGTGAGGAATGTTAAATTACAGCACAGGCTCTCTCAGAAATGAGGTTACCAGCACCAGTTTGAATTCCACTGTACATATTGTAAGAGGTACACTAGTGTGTTCTGTGGTCATCTCTGAGCTATTCCACATCTGTGGAAATAAAGTAGAAATAGGAGTTCAAGGAGAAAAAAGAACAATGTCAGATTTCCTGTTAGAAGAGAATTTGCTCACGTATTTTTTAGATGGGTGATGGTGGGTATTAAAGTGTTTAAATTTCTTTTTTTTTTTATTTAGAAGTGGTATTTTTTAAAATATTTATTTATTTGAAAGGCAGAGTTACACAGAGAGAGAAGCAGAGGCAAAGAGAGAGAGAGGTCTTTCATCCGCTGGTTCACTCCCCAATTGGCCGCAATGGCTGGAGCTGCACCGATCCAAAGCCAGGAACCAGGAGCTCTCCCATGCAGGTGTGGGGCCCAATGACTTGGGCCATCTTCTACTGCTTTCCCTATAGCAGAGAGCTGGATGGGAAGTGGAGCAGCCAGGACTCGAACCGGCGCCCATATGGGATGCAGACACCACAAGTAGTGGTTTTACCTGTAATACCACAGTGCCAGCCCCTAAAGTGTTTAGATTTCAATGGGTATCTTTAAAAGAATGAAACTACATCCTTTATAATTTCTTTTTTTTTTTTTTTTTTGGACAGGCAGAGTGGACAGTGAGAGAGAGACAGAGAGAGAAAGGTCTTCCTTTGCCGTTGGTTCACCCTCCAATGGCCGCCGCTGCAGCCGGCGCACCGCGCTGATCCGATGGCAGGAGCCAGGAGCCAGGTGCTTTTCCTGGTCTCCCATGGGGTGCAGGGCCCAAGCACCTGGGCCATCCTCCACTGCACTCCCTGGCCATAGCAGAGAGCTGGCCTGGAAGAGGGGCAACCGGGACAGAATCCGGCGCCCCAACCGGGACTAGAACCCGGTGTGCCGGCGCCGCAAGGTGGAGGATTAGCCTATTGAGCCACGGCGCCGGCCCATCCTTTATAATTTCAATGGAAGGTTTTAGATGTCAGCTTAAGAAGTTCAAAGGTATAATATTTTTTTTAAAAAAACTTCAGGCAGTTTGTGAGTACCCAAGTATGATCAGTGACTTTGAATCTTCTTTGCCTGCCACTCATATTAAGAATTGTGTTCATATCATGACCCAGCACACACACACAAAAGCAAAAGTTCATCAAACATCACCTACCTTATATCATGTTCTTACATAATCTTTTGCCTTCTGTTTTTGCTCCCCCCAGTATTCTGTTAAAAAAAAAAACAAAAACAAAAACAAAAACACATAACAACTTGTCTTAACCTACTAAATTGAGTTTATTAAACAGAATAATGGCTAGATCCAAAGTTTAGTTTTTTTGCTCTTTTGTCTCATATGATTTTTTGTTTGTTGGGTCTGAGCATAATTCAAAGATAACAAACTAGAATTTTTGTTAATGCTTTAGTTAACTGGTTTCCAGATTCTTCTGTGAGGTGAAAATCGGTTTAAAGTTCTCTTTTTTTGCTTATCCTCTCAGACATCTGTACATATCCCCATTACTCTAATAGCAAAGTCTACAACACTACAAATGTAAGTTTGAAAAATGAGGAGAGTGTTTGGGTAACCTCCGTGGTCATCTCATACTACAGAATACATTTTTTTTTCTTTTTTTTTGACAGGCAGAGTGGACAGTGAGAGAGAGAGACAGAGAGAAAGGTCTTCCTTTGCCGTTGGTTCACCCTCCAATGGCCGCCGCGGCCAGCGCGCTGCGGCCGGTGCACTGCGCTGATTCGATGGCAGGAGCCAGGAGCCAGGTGCTTTTCCTGGTCTCCCATGGGTGCAGGGCCCAAGCACTTGGGCCATCCTCCACTGCACTCCCTGGCCACAGCAGAGAGCTGGCCTGGAAGAGGGGCAACCGGGACAGAATCCGGCGCCCCGACCGGGACTAGAACCCGGTGTGCCGGCGCCGCTAGGCGGAGGATTAGCCTAGTGAGCCGCGGCGCTGGCCTACAGAATACATTTTAAAAGAGGAATAAGATTATGTCTCTCACAAGAAATATTCAGACTGTCAAACTCTTTACTGATCTCATCAGTTGAGGAGGAGTTTCAAAGAGAGCTTTAAAGAATATTCTGTGTTGTCTTAGGTGATACATTCTTTTTTTTTTTTTAACTTTTATTTAATGAATATAAATTTCCAAAGTACGATTTATGGATTACAATGGCTTCCCCCCCATACCGTCCCTCCCACCCACTACCCTCCCCTTTCCCACTCCCTCTCCCCTTCCATTCACATCGATTCATTTTCGATTAAGGTGATACATTCTTGCCTCAAAATTCAAAAACATGAATTATTGTCTTACACTGTTTACATACTTATCAAGAGAAATTAGTGAACTCGTTATCTAAATTTGTATGATTCTGCATTTCACAGCCCACTATACAAAAGAGGAGGAAGATTCAACATTGTTCAGGATTTTAATGTTTCAGCATTGTGAATTTTTTGGAATTTATTGAATTTTGGCACAAATGTAAAGGAAATGTGTATGTAGGGATTCTCTCTGTATCATGTGGCTGCTGTTTATCAGCCACAGAGGAATTTCAGTCCTTTCGATATATTTACATTTAACTAGTAGTCTGTTGCAATTGAAAGGGCATAATCAAATTGAGAAAACCCTGTTGCCTTAATCCTTTTGTCATGGGTAATATTACTTAGAAGACTTTGAGTAATAGGAAGAAAAAAAATAGATTATTTGCCTTGCCATTTCCCCACTCCAGAGCAATAGGATTTGCTCTGCCCAACTGTCAAGCAAGCCCGTTTATATGCAGTTTGTGTATACCATTAAAAGGGAATACAATACCCTTTTATTTCTGAGTTTTGTGTGAATGCATAGAGAAAAGAAGCATTTTGTTTTCCATACAAAGACTGTACTCCATGTATCTGTAACACACAGAGAAGTTTAAGACATTTAAGACAATTTCCTGAATAATTTTTAACTAAAAGTTTTATAAGACATCTAAATATGATGTTAATAATGATTTTTTTCATAGCTTTGTTGAGGTATCATCAATAAATTATGCATATTGAAAGCATACAATTTATTTAATTTTAACATGTTTATACCACAGAAACCACTATCACAATCAAGATAATGAACATATCCATCACCCCTAGAAGTTTCCTTGTACTTTGTAATACCTCCCTCCTTTCCTATCTCCCCTCTCCCCAAGCAACTGCAGATCTGCTTTCTGTCACTATACATTAGCTGGCATTTTCCACATGTTTATGTTAATGCTACAATACAGTATGAACTCTTCATCTGGCTTCTTTCACTCAACTGAAATTTTTGAAATTTTTGCACTGTGTAGCTTATATCAATACCTTGTTCTCTTTCATTGTTGAATAGTAGTGTGAATGTGGCACAGTTTATTTATCTGTTGTTAAACATTTGAGTGGTTTCCAGGTTTTGTATATTACAAAAACAGTTACGACATTTGTGTACAAGTGTAGACATATGCTTTCATTTTTCATAGGCAAATACCTAAAAGTAGAAGAGCTGAATCTTGTGGTAGGTATATGTTTTCATGTTTAAGAGGCCATCAAACTGTTTTCCAGAGTGGTTATACTGTAATTACATTCCTACCACCAGTGTGAAAGAATTCCAGTGGCTCCACATTTTCCAACACTTGGCCTGACAAGTCTTTTTAATCTTTTTTTTTATTTTTATTTTTATTTTTATTTTTTTGACAGGCAGAGTGGACAGTGAGAGAGAGAGACAGAGAGAAAGGTCTTCCTTTGCCGTTGGTTCACCCTCCAGTGGCCGCCACGGCTGGCACGCTGCGGCCGGCGCACAGCGCTGATCCGATGGCAGGAGCCAGGTACTTATCCTGGTCTCCCATGGGGTGCAGAGCCCAAGCACTTGGGCCATCCTCCACTGCACTCCCTGGCCACAGCAGAGAGCTGGCCTGGAAGAGGGGCAACCGGGACAGAATCCGGTGCCCCGACCAGGACTAGAACCCAGTGTGCCCCGACCAGGACTAGAACCGGTGTGCCGGCGCGGCAAGGCAGAGGATTAGCCTAGTGAGCCATGGCCCCAGCCAGTCTTTTTAATCTTAAACATTAGGTATTTACTGATATTTGTTGGTGTTTTAATCTGCATTTCTTGATTCACTAATGATGCTGAGTATTTTTTCATGTGGTGGTTTATCATCTAATACATCTTTTTTGGTGATGTGACTATTCATATCTTTTGCCCAGTTTTTGAGTTATTTTCTCATTAGTGAGTTTTAAGAAAAGTTCTTCATATTATTCAGATATGCCTTCTCCCTCAAATGTGTAATGTTCAGGCATTTCTCTCAGCCTCTGACTTGGGCAGGTGAATTCCTTTTTTTTTTCTTCTTTTTAAGATTTTATTTATTTATTTGAGAGGTAGAGTTACAGACAGTGAAAAGGAAAGACAGAGAGAAAGTCTTCCTTCCGTTGGTCCACTCCCCAGATGGCCGCAACGGCCAGAGCTGTGCCAATCCGAAGCCAGGAGCCAGGTGCTTCTTCCTGGTCTCTGCTGTGGGTGCAGGGACCCAAAGATCTGGGCCATATTCTACAGCTTTCCCAGGCCATGGCAGAGAGCTGGATTGGAAGAGGGGCAGCTGGGACTAGAACCAGTGCCCATATGGGATGCCGGTGCCGCAGGCGGAGGATTAACCTACTGCGCCACAGAGCTGGTCCTGGGCAGGTGAATTCTTTGTCTCCTGCTTATATTGAAGTAATTCCAAGATTCCCGTTATTTGAGTATTAGGAGGCATACAAACTGGGTTAGGTCTTAGCACAGCCAGGAACAAGTGTTGCAGCTAGCTAATAATGGATTTTTAGGAATAAGTTTTGGTATTTTTCCAGTTTGTAAATATGAAATTTGCTCATTGTATGCAATTTTAAAGAGTACTGAAGCCAGCGCCGTGGCTCACTAGGCTAATCCTCTGCCTTGCGGCACTGGGACACTGGGTTCTAGTCCCGGTTGGGGCGCCGGATTCTGTCCCGGTTGCCCCTCTTCCAGGCCAGCTCTCTGCTGTGGCCCGGGAGTGCAGTGGAGGATGGCCCAAGTGCTTGGGCCCTGCACCCCATGGGAGACCAGGATAAGTACCTGGCTCTTGCCATCAGATCAGCGCGGTGCGCCGGCCTTGGCGGCCATTGGAGGGTGAACCAATGGCAAAGGAAGACCTTTCTCTCTCTGTCTCTCTTTCTCACTGTCCACTCTGCCTGTCAAAATAAATAAGTAAATAAATAGTACTGAAAATTGTCAAAAAGGAAATGAGACTCTTTCCTTTCTTTACTGTAATATTTTCTTTTTTCACATGGCATAGGTTTTTGTTCACCATTTTTTATTTCTTTTAAAAGTGAAATCTTCCAGATATGAGTGTTTTCTGTCAGCATAGGTTCCTTGCACCATCCACTTGTGTAGGTGGGAGATAATACCCTTCTTGAATTTTGTAGCTCAGGTCAGGGCACTTATACACATCCCAGTGTTACTCCCAGTTTCTAGAAGACTTTCATTTGAATGAAATCTTTACCCACCATTCCTGCTTGTTTTATGGTTAATGATCATTCCAGAGTCTGGTGTTATCTACTGATTTAGATTATTTTCTAAGTCTTTGGAAACTGGGAAAGGATGGACTTGAATGCACACAGGATTTTAGAATGGGAATCTTGGTACCTTAATTTCTAGCTTTGTCCTCAGACAGAGAAGTTTCATGCTTTTTTAAGTCTGGCAATAATAGATTTCTAAGAGAAATGTTTGTGATATCTTTATGTTTGCTTTTAACTAAATAGGGTAAGAGCTTTCCAGTTTCATCTGAATTTGACATTGCTTAGTGTTTTTGTTTTAGGTGGAGGCAGCGGCAGCAGCAGTAGCTATGTTTCACTTCTTCAGAAAGCCTCCAGAATCTAAAAAGCCCCCAGTGCCAGAGACAGAAGAAGCAGATGGATTCGTTCTTGTAGGTGAGTCTTTTTATTTCTTTGTTTCTTCATTGAGAGACGGTCAGAATGTCCATCCACTCGTTTTTTACGTTAATGTCTGCAGTGGTAGAGGTTGGGCAGGGCTGGAGTTGAAACTGGAGCTGGGAACTCAGTCCAGGTCTCCAACCTGAGACATGGGAACCCAATCACTGGAGCCACTGGTGCTGCCTCCCAGGGTGTGCCTTGGTTGGAAGCTGGACTGAAGAGATGGAGCTGGGAATGAGACCCATGTATGCTGAGGTGGGATGTGGGTGTGTTAACCACTAGACTGAATGCCGTTTACTTAGGTGAGTCTTTCTAAGAAACAGAACCAAAATTAGAAGAATTATTTTTCCTTTGAAAATTATTTGGTAATTGTATGATTTTGTGTTATTTTAAGTTACTTCTTAAAAATTCCAGAGTTAATTTGTGTGTATAATTGTGTGTATAATTTTAAAAGGGCCATTATAAAAGTCATCAGTCATGCAGAAAATTGTCATCAAGTCACACGCTTTTAAAAAACATTGGTTTGGGGGCCAGCACTGTGGGGTAGCAGGTAAATCTGCTGCCTGCAGTGATGGCATCCCATAGGGCTGCTGGTTTGAGTCCCGGCTGCTCTACTTCTACAGCTCCCAGCTCCCTGTTAGTGTGTCTGGGAAAGCAATGGAAGATGGCCCAAGTCCTTGGGGCCTTGCACCCTTGCACCCTTGCACCCTTGTGGGAGACCTGGAAGAACTCTGGATCCTGGCTTCGGATCAGCCCAGCTCCAGCCATTTTGGCTATTTGGGAAGTGAACCAGCAGATGGGAGGTTTTTTTCTCTCTCACTCTCTCTCACTCTCTGCCTCTCTGTAACTATGCTTTTCAAATACATACATAAATAAATAAATACATTTATTTTTTTAAAAAATTAAATTTGTAGGATTAACCATCCTCCATTTATTTCCATCCAGTTAACTTTGAAGCTAAGAATCTGATAAATTCAAGTTTTGTCTTATTGATAGTTCCTATCTTGCTTCTTTTTTATTTTTTATTTTATTTTTTTTTAATTTAAAAAAATTTTTTTTAAATTTTTAAAATTTATTTTATTTTTAAAAAAATTTTTTTGACAGGCAGAGTTTGACAGTGAGAGAGAGAGAGACAGAGAGAAAGGTCTTCCTTTTTCTGTTGGTTCACCCCACAAATGGCCGCCACAGCCGGCGCGTTGTGGCCAACGTGTTGCGCCGATCCAAAGCCAGGAGCCAGGTGCTTCCTCCTGGTCTCCCATGCCGGGTGCAGGGCCCAAGCACTCGGGCCATCCTCCATTGCCCTCCCGGGCCACAGCAGAGAGCTGGACTGGAGAGGAGCAACAACCGGGACAGAATCTAGCACCCCAACCGGGACTAGAACCTGGGGTGCCGGAGCCGCAGATGGAGGATTAGCCTAGTGAGCCATGGTGTCGGCCCCCTATCTTGCTTCTTAAAATAGCATCTGAAATTAAATTAGGCATCCAGTAAATATTTATTAAATAAAGTAGACTTTTAAATCTAAGTTTGTTAAATAATATCTACCAGATTTTTGTTAAAACTACTTATTTTTTCTACCATAGAATTAATGCCTTCTAATTTAAAAGATTTTAGTGGCTTTATAAACATTTCTTTTGACCAACTACAGTACTCAGCCTAAGGGGAATTCTGAAAATAAAATAAAATTTCCTTGATTCCATTGTGTCTTCCCCTCACCAAAGAGACTGGGCATCTTCATATGTTCTTCCCAGAAATTCTCTACCCAGAGATGCTGTGGCACAATCAAAACCCAGTGCCCTCTTGGGCTCATCGTCTTCTAGCCTAGAACTCACTGCAGCAAATTCCAGCTCCTTCTCTGAGGAGTGGGTTAACTCATTTGGCTTGCTCCCTGGGGTGTTTCTCATCATCTCCCTCTCTGTATACTGGTGTCTTCGTTCTACTTTTATTTTAGGCCATTCAGATTGGGGTCCCCCAGCATCGACAAGTGCTCTATATGCCTTGGGAAGTGGAGAATGGTTTCTTTAGGGTTAAAGGGTGATCCTGGATTTTCAGCTTATGTACTGCATCAGCCACCTGTCTTCTCAGAGCCAGGGCTTGCCCTGTGCCTCTGAGCACCACACATTCAGAGGAAGTATGTATGGTCTCTGCCTTATCAGTATTTCACTTTAGGATCCCATCTGTTGCAAAGATAGAGAGGTTTCACCTGGCTGGCTGGCTGGCTGGCTGGCTGCCTTCCTTCCTTCCTTCCTTCCTTCCTTCCTTCCTTCCTTCCTTCCATCCATCCATCCATCCATAAGACTGATTTATTTATTTGAAAGGCAGAGTTACAGAGAGGCAGAGAGAGACAGAGATAGAGACAGAGAGAGGTCTTTCATCTGCTGGTTTACTCCCCAAATGGCCACAACAGCCGGAGCTGCACCGATCCAGAGCCTGGAGCTGGGAGCTTCTTCTGGGTCTCCCAGGTGGGTGCCGGGGCCCAAGGACTTGGGCCATCTTCTACTTTTTTCCTAGGCCATAGCAGAGAGCTGGATCAGAAGTGGAGCAGCCAGGACTTGAACTGGTGCCCATATGGGATGCTGACAATGCAGGGGCCTTACCCGCTATGCCACAGCGCCACTGCCATCCCCCCCCCCCCCCGCCTTTTTTTATTTCTTGACCTTAATCTTTGGGAGCCCAGAATAGTTTTTATCATGAATAAACTTGACTATAGAATGTTCCATTCTTTCCACAGCCCAGTTCTGGCAGGCCTGTTGTGTGTTCTGAATCTTCCTTATATGGCTTGGCACAGGCTTAGTACTGTGGTCAGAGTTAGTTGTTTCAAACCAGATTCCTTGCAAATCTGAGGCAAAATAATGGGACTTTGTCTTTGACCAGAGACAGTGGTTTTTGTGGGGAGGCTTCTGATGGGGTAAGATGGGGCGCTGTGGATAATGACCTTCTCTGGCCTTTCCTCCTTACCGTGTCTGGAATTAGTGCTTTGTCTTCCAAGTCAGAACTGGCTGTGTCAGCCCTTCCCCTTGTTCCTTGAAAGCTGCCAGTGTTGCTGTCCTCTCCCCTCACTAAGAGAGAAGTTCAGGGGCGCCTTATGCCTCTCTGAGGTTGTTTCACACTAAATGTTTCTCAGAACTTTGTTCCATTGAAGCCTGCTTTTCCAGTCTCTCATCCGTGTTCTTCGTTTTATAAACATCTCTGTAGTCTTAACATATATACAGGGACCTTTCTTTCTTTTCTGTTTTCTCCTGACTAGAAGTTGACATCACTCTTCTCGTTATCAAATAGCCATTCACAGGGTGTGAACTGGATGCTTCTGTGCAAGCACCCTCCTAGAATTTCCAATGCTAGGCTTCAGATTTTTTTTTAACTGATCTTCCTTGTCTATACCTCTGTGGCCAGCAACTTTGTCATGTTTCAGAGTCCAGTTCACAACTCACAAGGCTGCTAGTGCTAGTCTTCCTAAGATCTCCTCCTGTTTCTTGGCTGGATGCTTCCTTGCCCATGTCTTCTGAAGGGGCCCAGTTTCCAGGGCACTGTGCCTCACCAGGTGAAGTTTAGCAGCTGTGAGCTTTTCTTTCCTTTCCCAGAGCCAGCTCTGGTTTTAAGAGGTAGTCTTTAACTTAGTCTAAGAAGACGTATACACTTCTAAGCTTGCTATTCCATAAGGGTTTCCAGGATTTAATTACTCTAATATGTTCTCAGTCCCAGCTGCTCCCTCTGTTACAACTACGCCCTCATGGCTCATATTCCTGAAGACTGACATGCTGTGTTTTGAGGTAGTTTTCCCCAGGCCATCTTGGACTCAGCAAGATTGTTGTACTCAGTGCATATGTCTGGCAGTTGCCCCATTTTGGTTAGAAGTCAATTCTGTTGTAACTCCCAGATAACAATTTAATTTGTTGTTGAACTGCTGCTCTGCCTCATTTGTCTGATCCAAGCAAACAGGTTCCCAGATGTCAGTGAGGCCTCCTTGTCCCCCAGCTTCTCTGTCTTCTGATCCATGTCTCTGTTTAGTCCCATTTTCCTGCAGGTGCAAAGCTGCACTCCTGCACTGTTGTCTATGAAAAATCCATGTGCACCAGGTATTCTATGGATGTAGTAGTTCTGGTGGTGTCAGCAGGATCTTTTGGTTCTCCACAGAGTGCTAATAAAGGGGCTGGGTCCCCTGGTTTGGCATCTTATCTCATCAGTTTACTGGAGTTTCTACCTTGAGCGGGTTATTTAGACTCCTTGAGTGTCACTTAGCTACTGTGCAACTGAGTATGACATCGGTACCCATCCATGGGGTTATTGAAAAGATTAAATGAGTTACTGTGTGTAAAATGCTTCAAACAGCCCTGTGAGTGAGGTGATTCTATTGTACCTCCACAGATGAAATCTTAACTTTTTTTCAGGTTCCTCCAGCTAGTACAAAGCAGATGTGGAATTAACTCAGGCAGTCTGGCTTCATAGCCTATCCTTTTAACTACTAACCTATTCGTGTGGTGGCGGTTGTGTTAATGTCATACCATCATTTTCAATCTATTTTAAGTTGGTTTATTTTTATTTATTGGAAAGGCAGAGCAAGAGAGAGAGCGAGTGAGCAAGCTTCCACCTGCAAATTCACTTCCCAAGTGCCTGTGACAGCTGGCGCTGGGGAAGGCCAACACCAGGAGCCTGGAGCTGTATCTGGGTCTCCACATGGGTGGCAGGAACCCAGCTGCTTGGGTCATTATCTGCTGCCTTTCAGGGTACACATTAGAAGGAAGTAAGATTGGAAACAGAGGTGGGACTCAATCCATAGGCACTCTAATATGGGATATGGGCCTCCAAGCAGTGGTTTCACTCACTGTTTCACAATCCCTGTCCTATAAGTTTTTTTTTTTTTCAAGATTTATTTATTTATTCGAAAGAGTTACACAGAGAGAGAAAGAGAGGCAGAGAGAGAGAGAGGTCTTCTGTCTGCTGGTTCACTCCCCAGTTGGCTGCAATGGCTAAAGCTGTGCCAATTCAAAGCCAGGAGCCTG